TTGAAATATTAGCAAACTTGTGAAGATAGAGCAGCCAAAAAAGAACATAATGGAGAAACTTCCTCCGGAGATTATCCTTCGTATACTATCCAGGCTTCCAGTAACATCTTTGCTGCAATTGATGTTGGTTTGCCGAGGTTGGCTAAGAATAATACGTACAATGGTCTAAGCTTCATCTTCCAAAGCAATCGGCGGAAGTCATTGTATCAGCTTTTCTTTATAGATTTCTCCGATATTCACAGCGAAGGAAACGTGATGCTTAAGAAACTTCCTGCAGATTCATCCATGGCTATGTTCTTGGTAGATTCATGCAATGGCTTGCTATGCATGCGTGATTCACTACTAGGCATGTATATTTACAACCCTTTTACTAGACTTCACTTAAAGTTCCCGAATTGATGTACTATCCAGAACAAGTAGGACGCATTGCATTCGGGTTTCACCAGACAAGAAAACATTACAAGGTCGTCCAGGTAGTAGTTCAAATACAATCGGTTACACGAGGTGGTCGCATGGATGTTGCTGCATCGAGTTCGATACATCTCGGGTCCGTATTCTAACAATTGGAGATCCTTCTTGGAGAAATATAGGAACGTTACCTTATGATTTGACTTGGCCGACTCCGAGAGCTTTGCTCAATGGGAGGCTTCATTGGCTTTCTTAGCCTAACAAGAACACCGTAGCCAATTTACTACCTTGTTCGACCTCGAAACCGAGCAGTTCCAGCAGGTGCCTAAACCTGACTGTTGTGGCTCAGACAGGTGTTTTCACCATCTGATGGTTTTACGAGGTTGTCTCTCGGCCAGTGCGTATCACAATAACGAAGAACTGGAGATTTGGGATATGAAGGAGTACGGTATAAAGGAGTCATGGATCAAGATCAAATCAAAATGTTATGTATACAATTGTACAAGATCAAATCCATAATCACAGTACACATTTAATCAAATCTTATGCGTAATTGTAGAGTTCATCCATGTAAATGAGTAGTTAAAGATTTCTATTTTTGGGTGTAATAAAAATATTAGCTTGTAACTTATATAGTGGAGGAGAATTTTTAATATTTATATATTTACTGAATTTGATATATTACCCGTTGAATATTGTGCGTCAAGACATCACCTTTCCATATCCTTATGACCCTTAACAATATAAATATATTTACCCTTCAATATCATGGAAAATTGTTTCTTTCCGCAAGGGAAACCTGTTGGATTCTCCATCGAAAGCCAACCAAAACCTAAGAAGTCGTTTTCGTCTCTTCTTCGTACATCATTGTTTCCGACCGTAAATGATTCGATGCCATTTATGTTATTCGACAAAACAGGCCTACGTTTCACTGAGTTAGCTATCGTAATCTTCTGTTGAAAGATCTTTTGCAGGTTCAACGATGCACTATCGTAGATGTGTTCCTCTTTCGTTGTTCGTCTTGCAATCCCAAATTTTCTTGTCGTTATCATGGCTTGCGTGGGGCATGTCACAACCGTGGAAAAACAAGTCGATAATTTAGGAACAGGAAGTGTTTTCTCGGCAAATTTCTCTGTGCAAGCCGTTGATTATGGGGAGGGGATACACGTTTGGAAAAGGCTAAAGCAAAACTCGATAGCTCGAACTCGTGTTGGCAAAGAGCTTATCTACATATATTCTCGAGCTGCTCGGTGATCATCGGGGATGACAGCGAAAAACGGAAACGATTCGCCTGGGATCTCAGCAATTGCTTTCAAAATGACTAGGGAAGAATCTATTTCCCTCACTGTCATCCCGAATCTTCCATGAGAAAATGCCTCTCCAAGTTGGATGACATATCTTATCAAACATATCTTCAATTCTTCCTTGAAACCAACACAATTTGTTATCCGCTTCAGTAAGTTTTATCACTTAACATTGTTTTTATAAATGAATTGATGTTTGATTAGGTTTTAAACCTACAGGGCAACAGCATTCAGGCTTCAAACGGAGAAATTGGGGAATGATTTAAAGAATGCAGCTAGGATTACCGACGAGAAAATGGACGACATGGAAATGAAAACGAAGCAGTTGTTGCAGAGCTCAAACAACATTCTAAGTTCTCTTACAATAATCGGCCAACAATCGCAATAAATAGCGGAGACGACGAAGAATGCGTCGGACCATATGGATATTGTAGTGGAACATTCGATGGCGGTTTTCAAGCAATCTCAACAAATTGCAGCTTTTGAATCGGAACTGAAAACAGGCCAAGAGAAAATGAAAAGCAATTTGAAAGAAAGGATGGTGATGCTTAGTGACTCGTACAGAAACTTGGGTGAAAGACTTGATGGCATTAAAGAGGAGACTGTCGAAGTAGAGAAGAAGATAAGCAAAATGAGTGACGCAATGTCTGAGAAAATGAGTAATTTGCAGATCAAGGCTGAACGAGAAAATGGACGACATGGAAATGAAAACGAAGCAGTTGTTGCAGAGCTCAAACAACATTCTAAGTTCTCTTACAATAATCGGCCAACAATCGCAATAAATAGCGGAGACGACGAAGAATGCGTCGGACCATATGGATATTGTAGTGGAACATTCGATGGCGGTTTTCAAGCAATCTCAACAAATTGCAGCTTTTGAATCGGAACTGAAAACAGGCCAAGAGAAAATGAAAAGCAATTTGAAAGAAAGGATGGTGATGCCTAGTGACTCGTACAAAAACTTGGTGAAAGACTTGATGGCATTAAAGAGGAGACTGTCGAAGTAGAGAAGAAGATAAGCAAATGAGTGACGCAATGTCTGAGAAAATGAGTAATTTGCAGATCAAAGCTGATGATATAGGAAAAATGACTGGGAATTCCTTGGAAAACCAAAGGGAACTTTTGGATAAACAACCCGAAGCTCTCGACTGACTTCAATCGATTACGGAGTTTCAGTCACAAGCATTAGCTGAGAGCAGGGCATCGTTGAAAGATTTGGCTGATTTCAGCCATTTGCAACAAGAAATGCTTCTTCAGCGAACAACAGCTTGAACAATCACACGATCATCTGGTTGAGAATTCCAAGTCTATATTACCAGCTCAGGTTCATGTCTGAACTTTAAAGATGCATTTTTAGACAACATGGTCGGTTTTATACTAAATTTCATTGCCTAAATGTTGAAAAATATGAATGCAGGAAGCTTTTGAGTTCAAGCAAGCCCACATGTTTGCAGCTTTGGACAAGCTCTTCAATCTCCACAATGCCATGTTGGTCAAGTCCAGATTGATAAAAGCCTTTTTCCTTATTGTTTATCAATATTCATAATCTATGTCCTCACCTGCACCAAGCAAACATACATCGTGAGAACCAGACTCTATATTGGTATGTACGTACAAACATCTTCTATCTTTCAAATTGATTCAAACGTGAGTTTAAGTTTTGTTATTTCTTACAGGTTTATGTGCTTCATTCATGATCCAAATTGCGATTCTCCGATATCCTATGAACAGTATCGAACAGCAAACATGGCTTATTAATCTGCTGAGGCTGCTTTATACTATCCTTGCATCTGCCCAACTTCTTTTTGCCATATATTCATATAGGTACAACTGTCTCCACACGATGTTAGTTTATGATTTTTGGCATTTACATACTCAAAAATGCATATACGGCTTGGTTACAGGGACTACGAAAGGTTAAACCATCAAATGCAGGTAACATTGATTGACAAGTTTAATAGCATAAAGACTAACTCGGAGTTGTGTTGGGATTCCGATAGTGATGTCGACTGGCCATCGTGGATCGATACCGATTTACCCGACAATGTAGACAATCTCAAGGACCCTGACTACATGGTTCCATTTGCAGCAGCAACAGAAAGTGAAGGGAATTCAATTAAGTATCCTCAGTTTCCAGGAAGTATGATCTCCGACCCCGCCGTTGATTTAAAAGCGTCCTCGGAATTAGTTTACGTCTTCGGTTTCGTGTTGAACGACTGAAGGAAGATGCTTCTTCTTCTTCCTCCATTTAACAACTAAATTAGGTATAGAGAGTAGAGACACACAAATATGATTGTATGGTTTGGCATTGGAGAAGAGATTAAATATGCTTAGACTAAATTCGTGGTTTCCCTGTAAGAAAATATACGTAGAAATCCAGGCATAGAATGTAAAATATTGAATTGATTGTAATCCAACATTTATCCAAGATTAAATGTTATGCCTAAAATATACATCACCTGAAGTTTAGTGTTATATGATGTATTTCACTCAATTATTTAATTATTCATTCATCAATTGGTCCCCAAATTTAATATTTTTATCAATTTAATACATTAATATTTGTTGACTGCTTTAGTATCTTAACTTTATATTTTTTCTATTAACATAGATTGATTATAAGGTAGTATATGTTTTAAAGATTCACAATAATTTGACAATGAAAGTTTAAATACTCTTGCAGTATTTTGTGATCGAACCTGGAACCTCTAGGAGTAGTAATCATCCCTTTAAGCACTAAGATAGCATTGTTGAAGAAATATTTATTAAATTGATACATATAGTTTATATGATATTTGAACAACCAACCAATTATATACATCGTACTTAATGCTTTGTCATAGTTCAACAGACTAATACTTAATTTCATCTCATATAAGTCATTTCAAATTGATTAGTGTTACATCCCAACCAGATTTTATTTTCGAAATTACCTGTAGCTAAATGTGTCAATTAAAAAAAACAAATTAGGGACTAAAATTATAAAAGAAAAGGTTAAATACTAAGTTGAGAAAGATTATTAAATTCAAGGGCCAGTCAATATTAATCCGAAAAAATTATTTTTAATAATTTAAAGTGATTATAAAATAATATAATGTTCGAAATCTTTTTTAATCATTAATAGTACACACCTACTAACGTAATTGGTTAAACTCATAACCTCTCGAAAGAATAATATATTTTTCAACCGTAGAGATTGTTGGATCAAAATAAGAAAGGAAGAAGCAAAAATATACCTACCAAACAAAAAACATAGCAAAACCCTCCATAATCCAAGAGACCCCGATAGAAAAAGAAGCAAAAACAATTCTATCATTTACTGCTTACATCTGTTTGTTTGATTACATCAAGATTGCATAACGCATGCTGTCTCTGACCACAAAATGATTCATCTCCGATATTTGAGCAAACTCAGTGGACACCCAGGCTCCATCAACTCCATTAACTCGTGGTTGAGAGAAGCAAGACACTAAAGAAATACCATTCCATGATCCCCGCGAGCCTGTTCCGTTTAAGCTAATCGGCAGCTCCGCAGCTCCATCGTTGTTGTTATTCCCTCCGCCGCCGCACATGTTTTCATCGGCTACTCGAGGGCATTTCTTCATATTCCGCAGATTCCGTTGCAAAACCAAGATTATACGCCACATCTCTTCGATGGTTTCTGGGGATGGTAATAAGAGCTTCGGTTAATTTAAGGAATTAATGGAAGACCACCTTTTTGGAGATGAGATTTTGATCAGTGGTGGACGTGTTAGTGCCTGTGTTTATCACAAAGTGTTTGTTGGGTTCCTTTTTTTTCTTCTACTATAATTGTGGGGCCTTCTGGTTAAGGCCGACAAGGATGCCTGTATTCTAGTATAAAGCTCTCCATTCAGATTTTTTTTTTTTATAATAATAATAATAATAAACTATTATTTCAAATTGATGGAAAAGACAATGAAATTGTTCTTCCTTTACGGTTCAATGGAGTACGTACGAATCATATAATGGAAAACAGAGATATGCTTTGTGACAAAAAGTTCAGCCAAGAACATCTTTTATTCAATTGGTGTTGAGTTTGAGTTCTTGTCCCAATTATTACCTAATTTTATCATATCATTAGAATCATAACAATCATTGGCAAGTTTGGATTCAATCCCTTTATTTCCCCTTAGATATTTTCATTTATAAGCTATGTATTCTCGTTACAACATGGACATCGATAAATTTTGAGCATATAGTAACTTTTAAAGTATACAATTGGTCCATCGATTATATAATATTATTTTATCGACTATTAAAGTTATAAAATGATCTTTTAACTATGATATTGCTTTATTGAGTCCCTCAACTATTACAAATTACAAAACTGTCACTCAACTATTCATACGTTATAAACTTGTCATTTTTCGTTAAAAAATTAACAATAATCTGAACTAGACGTTTACCTGCTGACTGAGATATGTTAAAATTTGATCCTAAAATCTCAAAAGTCTATTATATCTCAGTTAGCATATTAACGTTCAACTCAGATGACCGTCAATTTTTTATCAAAAAAGGATGAGTTTAGAACATATGAATAGTCGAGGGACTCAACAAAGCAACATCATATAATCAGAGGATAATTTTGTAACTTTTAATAATCGGAGACTCAACAAAATATCGTCCTATAGTCGGGGAATCACTTGTATACTTTACCTTACTCTATCATCATACTATTATATATATATATATATATATATATATATATATATATATATATATATATATATCTTTTAATTTATTAGTAATTTTTTCTATTTACAATTATCAAAAGTTTTTAATAATGGTATTAGTGGTGATAATAAGCGATTAATTAGAAAATGTAGTTTTAAATGTTAAAATAATCTTTATTTATTTATTATTTATGAGGACCCGATTTTGGAATCCATCCAAGGAGCATAAGAATCAATTCCCCATATCCACATCCCTTGATGAAGGCCTATCGCCCTTGGTTCCACTCATAGTGTTTTTGTCTTTATCTTCGTTTTATGAGCAACTTGCAAATGCCATTGTTCATAGTTGCATTATGATAAGCATGGGTATACGCAGAAAGAAACAAAAATAAATAACTTATAATAATAATAATAATAATAATAATAATAAAAGACAAAATCAATGCAAAATCATGAGCAGTGCATGAATTTGGTTATGAAAGCAAAATGACCTATTGAGTTGTTCTTGTTCTAGATGAACCTAATGAATGCTCTATCATAGAAATAGTAGCCAATAGCAATACATAATTGTCACACTTATTTTTTAGAATACCTAAATCTAGTTAAACTCACGCATACATACATATAAAATTATTCGAATTCAGAGTATTTAAGGAGAACGTGATTCATGCTCCAGAATCTATGACGATAAGAGTGCATGCTTCTTTGGACTAATGTTTCTTCTCGAACTTATTAAAGAACAAAATCTCGAAGATTCAAAGCATATATATTCGATAAGTATAACGTGAGTGAATTCTTAAAAGATTCTAACGTTTCTACCTTTGATGTTTTAGATTCGACGTCGAATCTTTTTTAAGAAAGGGAGGATGATACATGCACCACAAGGCTCACATCAAAGGAAGATGTACTAAATCTTCCAATTGATCCACACATCCAAGCCTTGGAAAAGAAGAGCAAAACAACAGTAGACGATGACTTTTGAATGAGATCCAGATGTTATTTTGTTGACATGTATTCTGGAGATATGACCGTTTGTCTCTTATCTTTCCAACACTACTTGAATCGCATCAATTCGATGTCGGGAACTCAAGATACATTCATTTACTGAAGACAACGCATGCAGAAATTTCTATACGAGATTTTGTAAATATTACGAATTTTTAATATTTTATTAATTATTGTAATATAATTTAATATAGGATGATGCATTATCTTTTAGAATTAGATTTATTATTTATTATAAATTAATATCGAGTTAAAACATCATTCTTAGCTTATTATTATTTATTAGGAATTAGGCTATAATCAAAACATTATCTTTAGGTTATTATTATTTTATTCATTAGTTACTTAGATTCTTGGAACTTCTCACCTTATATAAAGGATGCTTCATTCACCATTATAAACACATCTTTGTTGAATATAATAGAATGAGAATTCATTTTTGCAAGTGTGATTACCTTGTGCCTTCGAAACATTCTTCATTAGTAAATTCTTTCAAGTTCTTCGTGAAGAAGATCTTCACACTATAATTTGCCTTTTCGTTGCGATTAGGAGAGCTGGTTAGAGCTGATTATCAAGTTTACCTAGTCAATTGTGATTAGGAGGGTTCGTAGGACATTTATCCTTAATCTTTATCATCATCATCATCCATGACAACTACATCACCATATCCATCTTATCGCCAAAGGTTTACATACCAGGGAGAATTTTCCATTCAAGTTCTTTCATCGTTTATATATCTTTTCATAATTCTTTTTACATATCCATTATATATTATCCATTAAATTTTAATCATCATCTTCAAGAGCCTTAAGTTACATCAAAACCCTAATCCATCTTCGATCTCGTTCTTTGATTGAGTCTATATCTCTAGGCTTGATTCTTCGACTTTGAGTAACGTTCATCATTCCGTTGTCATTCCTCTATCAATTGGTATCAGATTTGTATTGATTCTTGGAGAGAATCAAGCAATCTTGCTTGTTCTTGTGCACATAAACATCAAGGTACCCCAATGGAGCTAGTTCACGACGATTGATCATTTTTAGCCTTTTTACACTTTTTTTTAAATTTTATTTCAATTCCTTATTGTTATTTTGATAGTTTACATAAAAAAAAGGAAAAAAAAAAAAAAAAAACCAAAAAAATTAAAAAATCCAACAATCGCAACCAAAGAAATTTGGAGCTGATTTTTTACATGTACATTCTTCATTCCAAGAGTGCTTTTCATTCAAAAATTCAGATCAATCGGACATCGATAGACCCCTCAAAAGCATCGTTCAAATTTGTTCAATAAATTTAAGGTTCATCGTTGAAAATTTCCAGAAAATTCTACTGAAGGAATTTTGAGTGGAAATTTTATAGGCATATTCCCCAACACAAGATCGACTTCCAAAAAAATCCAATCATTTGGACATCAACAAACTCTTCAAATGTGTTGCTCAATAAAAATTGATAGAATTAGGGTTCCTCTGTTAAAAAAATTCTACAAGATATTATTAAAGGTATTTTGGGTTGAAATTTTACAAGCTGATTATAAACTCAAAGACCGAGCTCCGCATAAAATTTCAGGTTGTTTGAACATTGAAAACCCCTTCAAACACATTGCTCAAGTTGATCCTGCATTTTCTAGGTTTTCGGATTTGGTTTTCCATTTTTTTTGTTCTTATTGCTTTAGATTCTTTTGTTTTTCCATTCTTTGTTCTTTTACATCATCTAACACGTTCTTTTTTTGTGTTAGTATGATTAAAAGAATTTGCATACTTCTTCCTTGCATTTTCGTTTAATGGAGTCTTAGCTTTCTTTGACTTCTTAGAGTTACTAAGTTGTTTTTCGTCTTTGTTAGAGATTGAACTTTCACACAAACATTGTGAGACTTCTTGGCAAAAGAGTTTTAAAGAGTACAAGATCGACTAAATTACCTCCCAATGATTACTTCCTTGTAGTGAATTATGAGGTTTCTTGTTTTTTTATATTCTTTTTTTTCACTTTACATTGTTCTTTTGAGTGTTGTGACTTTTCAATATGATAAAAGATGATGAAGTTTATGAGATAATTCGAGGCCTTATGGCTGTTATTAACTGGCAAACATACATTCTTACTGAACTTCAACAACAAACGACACACAATCCTGATAATCCCATTGATGAAGATATTCCAACAATATTTTAATACCAAAACTCTTTGTTAAATTGAAGTTCACAATCCCACAATTCAAAGGATTCTATGATCCAGGTGGTTACATCGACTAGGAAAGCAAAGTTGACATTATGTTTTCATACCACAATTTTCCTTTCAACGAATATGTACCTTTAATAGCTATGGAGTTTTCAGATTATGCACTCACATGGTGGATGAAAACACTAAAAGCTATTCATGAAAGAATATAACTAATATTCCATTTTATCAGTGAGTTCACTTGATTAAAAATATTGCATGAGCTAACTTGATATATGATTAGGTTAGTTGTCATTTAATCATAAGTATATGGTTGTCATTTTCATGGCATCATGTGGTATTAGCCCACAGTTTATTAGTTAATAAGCAAAAAAATCGTAGGTTCAATGTAAATGGACGACTTTTTATTCCTTGTATATGTATTTAATTTGCTTTTGCTTTTAGTTCATGGGAATATACAATATGAGAGAGTGATTGACCAAAAAGTAATTTGACTTATTTTATCTTTTATTTATATTAATTAATATGCATATTGACACAAGCTTTTATTTAAAATTAAATAAATCGGCTCAATAATTATCCAAAAATTTTAAAACTCTGCTTATTAATTAAGTGGAGGCTAAATTAATAAAATTGTATAAAAGGTTTAGATTAGTTTTTAATCTTATTCTTCGAATAAGAAATTTTAAGCCACACAATTGTATCGATGATGAATGGTTTATATATGTTATTTTTCTTTTCCCTCTTGGTTTTCAAAACTTCGACCTTGATTAATTTAGACCGATCCGGGTCACACATCTAATTTTGGTGGGTGAGTCTCTCAGCGAGGATTTTCTGTATATAACTCAAACTCGAGACCTATTTAAGTTATATCAAGCTAATTACCACTTGAATGAACCTTCGTTGGTCTATAATTTTAGTACTACTTCGAAATTTCATATGATTATTCTAATTCAAAACTAATTAAATATCTGTGAATTTTAATACTACTGCAAAATTTCCATTTAATTATTCTAACTCAAAACTAATTAATAGTATAGTAATGATAATTTAAATTTAAAAATGATTAGTGGTGTTTTAAATAATTTACAACCAATAGTTGGTAGCTGATTCTAGTAGTTGGTTTGACCAACTGATTTGATTAGTTGATTTGAGATTTTGATTTAATTAATTGTTTATATAGAAGTGTTCGGTAAAATTTAGCTAATAGTTGATAGTTTATATGGGTAAAATGACAAATAAGGGTATAATACATTTAGTTGTTAAGTACATATATATATATATATATATTTTTTAATACTTTAGTCTTTATTGAGAGCAAAATTATTCGGATAAAATGTTTTTGACAATGAATTAAAAATGCTTTTGACAATGAATTAAAAATTCCTTAAGAAAATTAGTGAATATTTTTAAAAATTTTGAATATATTTTTTTAAATTTAATATTTACAAATATTAACCTTGTGAGATTGATACATACAATTAATTTTGTATAAAATATAAACATTGTATTTTTTTACTTTCATGTTTTTGCTATATTTTCTTAATTATTTTACTATATTTATTAAGTAAAATATATTTGAGAATCTACAACTAAAATATAATAATGAGGTTTTATGATAATGATGTAATCATTTAACATCTGATTTTGAAATCAGCTCTCCTTGACCATTGAATTCTTAAGTATTTTTATTTTCAACTTATTTTGTACAATCAACTATTTCAAAAAGGTGTTTACCAAACTCTAAAAATGAAGGGTTTAACTATCAATTAACTATTTATGCTCAAATAAATTAAAAACTCTTCAAAAAGTTATTTACCAAACACCTCCTTAAAAATTATTTATATTGAAAATTATTTGAGTTTAAATAATCCTATCTTAAAAGGAATAAAAATTGAAATAATTTTAAAAAACTTGAGTTTAAATATTGAATTTAAATAAAAATTCATAAATTGATTCAAACTCCACATGACACAATAAAAAAACTCCACTAGCAAATAATCCAAACCACGACTAATTTTGATATTCAAATAATTAAAACCACAAATAATTAAGATATTTTAAAATTGAAATTAATTTAATCTTTTTAGTTAATTAAATTTAAGTTTCTTCTTTTCTTTTTTCCCTCAATCTTCTCTGTTCGTCTTCGCACTATTCCACTGATTAGAGCTAATTTTATTATGCTATAAAGTTTAAATTTAATCTCAAGGGATATCTATATCACCTTATTTAATTTATATGACAGTAATTTAAGATTACAATATTTTATTGAAGAATATAAAATTATTTTAAAATAAAAATTTATTAAATTATCTTTGTGATATATATTTTTAACAAGTTAATTTTTTAATATTAAATTAAAAATATTTACAAGAAAAATCATTAAACTATTTTCATTATACTATTTAAATTTTACAAAAAAAATTATATTTAACATTATATTAATATATAAATATTTTTTTGTGAAAATTTTTATTAAATAATATTATTTATTAATAGAAAAAATCTCGATGGAAAAAATCCGAAAAGTACTAAAATTATGCAATACTTAAAAAGTTAGTGAGATGCCATTTTCATTATCTGACAAAAAAAAAAAGGCGTTCTTGAAAGAAAAAACCAATTCTCCCCTGAGAAATCAACAAAATCAAGAAGAAAAAATATTTTTTAAAAATATTTTAATAGTATTTTTATAAATAAACATTTATATGTTTTAAAATCTAAATAGTAATCTTATGATTTTTATTTTATTATATATATTTATTTGATTTACTGACTCCTGAATTGAAAAAGCAGCTATCGATTGAGGCAGGTTTTGTCTATTCTAGTTTCACTAATGCAGAGAGATTTTGTCATAGTTGATATATAGGTGAATCTTCATCGGGATTTGTATTTGGATTAACGAATCTTTAGTTTTTAATGCAATGACAGCGACATTGACACTGACACAACCAACCCCTCCCTTCCATCATCTTTATACATTTATATATATCATTGGGATTTATCTTCTTCTAGAATTTTTTTATAGGAAATAAATCAATCAAATTAGGTGATAAAAGATAATAATTATTTTTAATAATTTCCTTCTCTAAAGTTTGCTAGAATACCTCTAAGGTTTGTGGGAACATATAGAAAACAATATAACAAAGGTATAATGATAAATTAGCCCTCAAAGTTTACTTTGCTACTTAAAACTTTTTTAGTATTTGAGTCTCCAACGTTTTAACTTTTAGGTTCAAATATCTCATATTGGATAGATATTATTAGTTGACTAAAGGTCAACATGTAATGTTCATGTGACATTTTAAAATGTATTTAATTGATGATGTGGCATGTATCATGTCATCCAAAATGATGACACAATATATACCACGTCACCCTTTACATGGTATATATCATGTTATCTAAAGAATGACGTGATATGTGACGCATCATCCGAAAGAATAACTTGATATGTGACATATCACCCGAAAAGATGACAATATATATGTCACATCACTCAAAAAGATAATGTGATATGTATCACATGATTCGAAAGGATGACACGACATTTGTCTTGTCATCTAAAATGATGTTGCGATATATATCACGTCTCCCAAAAATAATAACATGGTATGTGTCACATCATTCGAAGTTATGATATGATATATGTCATTATTATCAATTAAACACTTGTACAAATGTCACGTCAGTAACATATGTTGATCGTTAGTCAACTAACAGTTTCAATCCAATTAGGCCATTTTGATTAAAAAAATGAAATATTTGGGGCTAAAATTGTTAGTTGTCAGGTATTTAGTTAGTTAGGTTGTTTCTCGTGAATTCGTTTCTCTTAGTTAAAATTATTTTAGGGTTTTCTGCCCTCTTTTTGCTATGGAAACTTCATTGCTCAATTTCAATCACCCTTTGTTTTTGCATGCTTCTGATACACCTGGGTGTCTTTTCGTTTCGCATCAACTTCATGGCATCAATAATTATGGTGTATGAAGCATATCTATGAAGATTGCTTTGTTTGTGAAGAACGAGTTAGGTTTTGTCACTGGTGATTGCCGGAAAGAAAATTTTGATGAACTCTTGCATTCACAATGGGAGATATGCAATGCTCTTGTGTTATCTTAGATTCTCAATACGTTGAGTAAAGAGCTTTCAGCTAGTATTGTTTTTGCATCCAGTGTTGCTTTGGTCTGGCAAGACCTGAAGGAGAGATTTGATAAGATCGATGGATCTAGGACATTCTTCCTTCATCGTGAAATTGTTTTTTAACTCAAGGTGATTCTACAATATCAGCTAATTTCACTCGTTTAAAGTTACTTTGGGATGAATATGAAGCTTTAGTTGCAGTTTATTCCTGCGGTTGTGAACTTTCACAATGCACCTCTGTTCATCACGCTCAACAAAATTATTTGAATTTCACATGGGTCTCAATGAGACGTATGTTGTTGTGCGAAGTCAAATCCTGCTTATGCAACCATTGTCGTCTATAAATCACGTGTATTCAATGCTTGTTCAAGAAGAATCATAGAGGGCACTCTTCTGGTCTTTCTCTGATCTCCGATGTTTTTGTTATGTTCTCCAATTCTGTCGGGAACAGTGATACGAAGTGATTTTTCGGTGTGTGTGATCTTTGTAAAATTCGAGGACATAAGCGTGAGAATTGTTATAGATTAATCAGTTTTCCTGCCGATTTCAAATTTTCCATGAGGAAAGGGAATTAGGTGGCTTTGGCTTCTAATCGATATGTTCTTGGTTCTCACAATCAGGCAAGTCTTGAGCCACAACAAGATGCTTCTTCCAGTGCTCATGTGTTTACACGTGCCCAATACAACCAAATTTTAATCTGTTGAACAATGAACCTTCTGTGGATTCAACAGTAAATCTTGTAGTTATTGTTTCTGACAACAGTGACTTAACTAGTCTTTCTTTCAATTAGATATTGGATACAGGGGCCACTAACCACATGTTATATGATTTTCAAAGGTTAATTTCTCCTATTTTGTGTAACTCAGAATCTAGGTTTGTACTTTACCCAATGGCCAAAACAACTCCTATCACACACATAGGTTCTTTTTGCTTTAACCAGGATCATTTCATTACCAATGTTTTGTTTGTTCCTAAATTCTCTCATAACCTCTTATCTATTTTCAAGTTAACCAAAGAACTCAATTGCATTATTTCTTTTTACCTTGATTTTTGCATTCTGCTGGATCTCTTCATTGGAATGATGAAGGAGATTGGTAAAGAGTCTCGAGGGTTGTATTTTTTTATTCTTCTACTTTTGGTTCAGGTGTTTCTTCTGTTTTTCATTGTAATTCTATTTTTTTCATGTTCTTCAGCCTCTAATTCTTCAACTTGTACGAGTCTTTCAACTGTTAATAATACCAAGCTTTGGCATGCTCGTTTAGGGCATTCTTGTTTATCCAATTTGGATAAAATACCACACTTACAGTCTTACAAGTTTTATGCTGAATGTATACATAAGTGTTATGTTCGTCCTCTTGCTAAACAATCTAGGTTACCCTTTCCACACAGTACTTCTAGGGCATCTAAACCTTTTGATTTAATCTATATTGACCTATAGGGGCCTTATAGGATCTCTACTCATAGTGGTTGTAGGTCTTTTCTAACCATTGTTGATAACCAGAAAAGGATGTCCTGGGTTTACTTGTTGAGGCTTAAGAGTGATACAATTCTTTCTTTAAAACAGTTCTTTGACTATGTAAAAAAACCATTTTTCAGTCACAATCAAATTCATTAGAAGTGACAATGGTTCTGAATTCTTTGCCACTGAATGTTCTTCTTTTTTCTCTTCCTTGGATATTGTTCATCAAAGATTTTGTGTTCATACTCCTAAGCAAAATGTTTTTATTGAAAGAAGACATAAACACTTGCTAGAGGTGTCTAGAGCCCTCAAATTTCATTCTCAAGTCCCTGTTAAATTTTGGGGAGAGTGTGTCAACACAGCTTGTTACATAATCAATAGGTTGCCATCTTCTTCTTTAGCTGGAAAAAGTACTTTTGAACTCCTTCATGGTGAACCACCTAACATTTCCCATTTTCATGGGATATTCGACAACTCATGAATGATACCTCCTCTTTAATCTTGATTTAAAAAAAACTTCTTTGTTAATCGAGATGTGAAGTTTCATGAAGAAATTTTCCCTTTTCATTTTCCTACTTCTTCCTCTTCACTTTTTTTTCCTGTTCAAGATATTTATGATTCAGATTTTCTAGTTATGCCTTTTCATTATACTCATCCCGCTTCTTCCTTGCGTCCCTCTTCCTCTTCTATACTCATATTTCTTCAGACCAATTTGCATCACCTCAAGCTTAAACAAATGCTTATTCTGATCTAACTCAACCTCAACCTCTTATTTCTGATGATTCTTTGCCAATTAACATGCATATTCCTCCTAGGCAGTCTACTAGGGTAAAAAACAGCCTGTTTGGTTACATGACTATGTGTAGTCCTACCAATCTTCCTCTCTTCCAAGTACTTATCATATTTCCAATTTTCTTTTTTTATCTATCTGTTAAAACACAACTTTATATTTCTTATATTTCTCATTTGGTTGAGCTTAAGACTTATAAAGAAGCTATTCAAAATCCTGCTTGAATTCAATCCATGAATGAGAAGATTTTAGCCTTGGAATCAAATAATACCTAGTCATTGGTTTCCCTGCCTTCTGGTAAGACTCCTATTGGAAGTAATTGGTGTACTGAATCAAATACAAATCGAATGGTGAAGCGGAGAGGTTTAAATCTCGTCTTGTCGCCAAATGGTACACTAAAAAAGAAGGGGTTGATTATGTTGAGACCTTCTTTCCTGTAGAAAAATTGGTCACTGTCAGGACAGTCTTTGTTCTTGCTTTCATTCATCATTGGCCTCTTTTTCAGATGGATATTTATAATGCATTCCTTCAAGGTGATTTAGTTGAGGAGGTATACATGTCTTTGCCTAAGGGTTTTGCAGTCAGGGGGAGACCAGGGTGTGCAGACTACAAAAATCCTTGGATGGGTTAGAGCATGCTTCAAGAAACTGAAACATGAAGTTGACAGAGGCACTACTACTGGCAGGTGATCGCTTGTGAATGTATATGCTAAGGCAAGCTAATCTGTGCAAGTATACACAATCGATGCAAGTAATATAGTAGTGAGTGAGTATCGTCTCTACAAGGATTGGATTAGAAGTATCTCTTCACCACAACTAGAACTAATGCCATAAATTAATCCTACTAAGTATTAAAGCTAAGAACTAATATTAAGGAGCTAAGAATAATGATTCAATGACTGCAGACAAGTGTGGTTGAGACAAAGAAAATATACAGATAGATACAAAACAAAACAAGTATTGGATTAAATATAACGAAAACAACCTCACATATTCAGACGTGTCACAGAGCACTGATGCTAAACTATTGTCTCGGCAATAATTATTTTAAGCCCGTAATGAATTATTATGACTCACTAAACTGCCTGACAGGATTACTAGGTATTCTTAGACGGTTGCTATGGCAATACCTCTCGGCGTTAACTATAGACGTTGTCTTAACTTACTCTAGCCTTTATCCCTTTTAGTCATTTGAAACTCACTCCTTATCTCTAAGGTAGACAACTTAGAACTTCACCATCTCGGATTCATTCCTTCGCTCACGTTGATCTCTCTTAATTCTCTCAAATTCAAGAATCACTTTTTAGACAAAAGGCTATCTCTCGATGCTCTTACAATGCCCAAACTTGTTTTATCAAAATCCTAGGTGATCCCTCGATGCTCTTACAGTGTTAAGGAAAAATATTTAAACTATGAGCAAAATAGTCATAAGCAAACATAATTCATCATTCATAAACATAAAAATAGTGTTCAGGCAAACAAAGTTTAACACCAAGTAAAACATTCATGGTGTTATCAAAGATCATCCAAGATTAAATTGTTTAATATAACCCCAAATAGAATTAGAGTTTAGGAACAATTGAAAAATGACTCCCAAAGTCGGGGCTCCGTCGCGACAATCCTGATCAGCACCACGCCTGTCTTGGTGATCACCCTCTCTCGAGGCCTGATCACCGCTCTGCTATCGTCTGGATATGGAGGACACCAAGGAAGACTGGGGTTAGGCGGAGGGAAAACACTACAGCTGCTTGCTCACGCCTAAGGTAAAGCTCTTATTTCTTCTTCCTTGCCTTCCTCTTTTTGCGGCTACGGCTAGTAATTGTAAGGAGAATCTCATAAGGCTTTGCATACTTTTGGAGTTTCCTTAATTAGCCGTTATTAATTTCCCAAACTCAAAAAGGAAAGGCGACTAGCGACTGTCAAAATAATCAAGGCTTGCTTGTACGTGAAGCAGGTCATCCAGCTGGCATGTGACATAGGTGGTTTCGCCACATGTGCTTCAGACTTATTCAGATAAATCTTACATCGACGAGATAAATCTACTCCTCACGTTCTCATCTGCTCCATTGGCCTTTGCAACTTTTCATTGTCACGACTGAAATGTTCTTCCTCTGTAGAGTTCCTGCACAAACACAACTTAAACAACCCCTTCTCCTCAGCACCATTAGTTAAGCCAAATAAATCTTGCCTAGGCAAAACTTATCCACCACAAGCAAATATACCTATATACAACTAAATGCAACTAAAAATGCAATGCAAACTTTGTTTAGAAGAGAAATAACTTAAGTGAAAAGACTATAAATTAAGTCTTTTTATAGAGTTATCACACTCCCAAACTTAAGCTATTGTTTGTCCGTAAGCAATGGATAATAGCTAGAAGAAAATTAAAATTGTCATGGCAAAGTAGTATCAAGAACATCACCAGGTTTGAGATTTCAGCCCTCAATAAAAATATGTGGCCTCAACATGTTCGACAGTCATATTAGTCAAGTCCCCTGCCTAGTCAGGATCATTTGTTATTGTGTGTACGTGATTGTAACCAGTCTATGCATAGAGGTAATTAGAAAACTTAAAGTAATCACTTATAGGTTGTCAAGGCAACAAATTATTCATCAGGCTTAGTTTATACTCCTAGTTATTTATCAACTTTTATTTTCTTTACAACTACCGTTCCACACTCTAGGTGAAAGGGAGCATACCTTCCACCCCAAGCTAGTCGGACAGATTCATCCTGTGACAACTTTCATTCACTCATATGTCTTGGCTACTCTTAATTTCTTTTGGAGTTTTTATTATTCATGCCTTTTCACAGAGGAGTGTCCCTTTGTATTTTTCGAGTTTTCAAGTTTTTAAACACTAGAGAGTTTTTACCTTACCCTTAGAATATTTTTGAAGTCTCGACAATTAGAAAGTTATTTCCCTAAAATTTTAAAGATTACCTAGAGCAAAGACAACCTACAATCGTGTTTATAAGTTTTAAATGATCAAGCCTAGGGTTGGTTCTCTTCTTCAGATAGTCTTTACAATAATTCTGGCCTAGGCAATAGAATTTTGCATTCATCATTGGGCATCCCTAACAATAATCTTAACTTGCTTATGTCATGACAACCAAAATTTTCAACTAATTAACATCAATTAATATTTAACAAAGTATGGCAGAATAGACAACACCTCCCCCAAACTTGCGGGATACGTTGTCCTCAATGCATGAAAACTACACTAAATGATGTTATATGCAAATGCGAAAATAAAAATAAAAACGAAGACTAAAAAATACTTACTGTGGTGGTATGGCTTGACTTGACCCCCTCGTACGGCGTCGTTTGGGAGGGGAATGGCTCTTAGATCCGAGTCTACTGCTTCTGGCTGAGAAGAAGATGGCTGAAGTATACGCTATGTCGTTCTCTTGTATCACTTCTTGCTGGTTGAAGCGCGGGCTGGAGTGGACTGCTCGGTCGCGGGAGTCGATTGTGCTGGAACTGGTGGTGGACTAGGAGCTACTGTTGGGGCTGGTGGTGTCGATTGAACTAGGGATAGAATGGGATCTTGCTCAGGATACTTCGATGTTGGCGTGAAATCTTCATCAGTGAAGAAGTGTGGTGGAGTATCACTGCTGCGTTCGGTGGTGGAGAATGATGAGGAACTGAGGAACTCCTCGGTGTCACCGTGGCTTTCTTCTGGTACGGGTGAGATATGGGTTGCCAATGGTGGCACATCAGTTGGCACCCCTGGTGGAACGTCTGGAGGGACATAAGATGTCAAGGCATGGAATGTGCTACCGCCCACGTTGTAGTTGAGGATGACACTGGGGAAGGTTGGCAGTCTGATCATTGTGGTTGGGAGAAACTCCTTGATGAAGGTGTTGAGTTGCATGTCCCTTGCCTTGGTGTATTCAAAGTAAATTTTCATATGGTCCTCTAGGCACCCGATCTTTTCACGCATCTCACGCATGTGTGTGACCACAACGGTTATTCTTGTCGCGACAACCGATTTTGCTCCTCTCTCCAGACCCTCCTTTGGGTCGTCATCATTGAAACTCATAAACTCATGGACCTTTTTCTTTGTAATACCCTCCTTGGGTTTGATGAAGTCTTCGAATGGGTCTTCAGGAACCTTTTTCTTTATGCATTGCACGGTTATAAGGTTTGGGAACAGAAGGTTACCACGGTTCCTCTTGGCACAGTCATGGATCTGCTCAAAGATGATTTCACCCACATCAACTGTCCTGCCGTATATGATCAAGTGCAACAGCATCAGCTGCTTGACGAGGACAGTGGTGTTGTGGGACGTTGGCATCAGCTTGCCTTTAAGAAAATGGTTCCACAGTTTCACGTATAGCTTGAGGGCTCGTCGATCTACTCGCTTTCTTGTGGGGGAATTTCCTTCGAACTTGGCCCACCTAAAACATAAATTCTATAGAACTCCACTATACGTTTCTTGATCTGCCTCGGCCACAAATTTCTTATACTGATCATCCACCTTCCCTAACTTAAAGTATTTGTTAAGTGCAGAAGGGGAAAAGTGAATGAGTTTTCCTCAAACATATACCGTGTGGTTGGAGGTGTCCGCGAGGTGGGCATAGAACTCCCTCACCATTGTCGGTGCTACGGCATTAGGATTACTAGCAAACCTCTCCTAGTTATGCTTCTTTATGACGTTCATCACCTCAGGGCCAAACTGTTCTTCTCTATCGACGTTGCTGAATGGTTTTGAAGTGTGCCTCTGCTTCGACTGTTTGAAAATGTTTGAAACTCTGTCTGGGGGGTGGGGCCAGTATCGATCTCACCATTTTTCTTTGCTGATTTTAGTGGTGGCAATGGGGAGGTATTTTTTAGAGAAAGAAAACAAATTTTCTGGTTTGTAGAGAAAGAGGGTAACACGATGAAGAATAAGAAGAGTGGATAGTTTTTTTCTTGGAAAGTAATGGTTGGTTTCGGGGTATTTACGTCTTTTCTCGGTGGGGAAATGATTTCTCATTAAATGAGAAATATGTCATTTGACGTAAAAGAGGAGAAAATATTTCTTTCCCTTTTGTTCTGCCGTCAAAACCTTTTTCCCTAGCTCGTCATTTCTCCTTCATGCATGCTTCAACTCCATATGCTGCCACGTGTTCCTTGTTTGCCTATAATATGAGAGAATAGAATAATAAATAAAACTAAAGTATAAAATAACTTTACTTATTTAGTATAGAATTCAGATTTTCGTTGCCTAGGTAACGAATATTTGCTTAATTAAGAAAAGCCAACTCTTGGGCATCGTGTGCCAACGATGTCGGTTTGTCGCGCATGACTGGGGCTCCTTTGTATTTCTTGAGTCTCTGCCCATTCACTTTGAAGATGGAACTATCGTTTTGGTTCTGAATTTTAATCGCTCTATTGTCATGGACTTGGTGTATGATAAATGGTCCTGACCATCGTGATTTTAGTTTGCCTAGGAATAACTTAAGGCGTGAATTGTAGAGCAGTACTTGTTGTCCAGAATAAAATTGCCTCGGTAGTATTTTTCTGTCATGCCATCGTTTTGTTTTCTCATTGTAAAGGCAGGCATTCTCGTATGCATGTGATCTAAATTCATTCATCTCGTTTAGTTCCAGTAGTCTTCTTTCGCCAGCAAGCTGAGAATTCATGTTTATCTTTTTGATGACCCAATAAGCTTTGTGTTCGAGTTTAACCGGTAGATGACATTCCTTTTCATAGACTAACTTGAACGAGGACATTCCCAGTGGTGTCTTGAATGCTGTGCGATAGGCCCATAGTGCATTGGCAATCAATTTATTATCAAAATGTGTTCCTTCATCGCTAATGAGCTCGTGGTGTCCCAAAGCGGGTGAATATATTTTTGTGCAAAAACTTCAACACCGTCTTGGAATCGTTCTTAGGTGTTACAATGGCTTCAACCTATTTTGATATGTAATCCACTGCCAAGAGAATGTACATATCTCTGAATGATGTTGGAAAAGGTCCCATGAAATCTATGCCCAATACGTCGAAAAGTTCGATCTCCAGAATATTTTGACATGGCATCTCATTCCGTTTCGAGATGTTTCATGTTCGTTGGCATCTATCACATGACTTGTTAACCAACATATGATTCGTGTAACCAAACAATACACATATCATCATATGACTTGTGCAATACACATATCAACATATATCACAAAAGCATATTTTTCACATGTAATATATTTATTGTTATATCTTTGTCTAGCCCATGTACATTTCTGAGAACTATAGATATGTGAGTTTATAGAGGTTGTGCACTAATGATGTCACCACAGCTCGTATAATGCACCGAAGTGCCACGTAGAATTGCACCGTAGTGCCGCGTAGAAATGCACCGAAGTGCCATATAAGGTTGTCCCTAAGGACCACATATCATTCCTTAAGAATCATATACATATACCAAGGATCAAGTATGTGTCTCACAAGACCTCACACATGTTTCGAAGAATACATATACGTCTCGAAGGACCGCGTAGACCCTCGACTCTTGGCATGCCAACTATGCCTCTAGCTCTCATGACACATAACATGGGCATTAATCTTTATGTTATCACACATTCACATATACACATAGTCTTTTTATTACATTTTTATAAGATCACACTTAGTCAAGTAGTTCATTTCAATATAAATCACACATACACGTAGATCACTTGCACGTAGAACATCTTTATATAATCATATGATTCACTTTCACTTATCACATATACTTTTTCTTTCATATATCTCATGGCATATATCACATGGCTCTTTATTTCATTCTCATATGATCACATAATCATGTAGTTCCCTTCTCCTATCACGTTGCATGGTTTTACATAAACATATATCATACCTTATTCATATATATATATATATATATCCTCAAATACATGTAAGCCCATATTTTCTTATCTTATAACTTACGTTACATATGCATGTAATCTTATGACTTATTGTTAAATAACTCAAATAACATTGTATTATTACATACTTTGTTCCATAACCATATATTTACATACCTTATACTTACCTAGTTTACTCTATTTCACACATAGTCACATAATCACGTAATTTACTTACACATAGATCATTTCCATACCTAAATCATATAACACCCAATTCTTCCCCATAAAGTTATTTTATATTCATATATCATATTATCCTATAAGTAAATACTTATCTTATGGTTTGGTATCATCATTTATACTCAATTCCCTTCACTATATATTATTCTCATATTACTCTATAGTCTAATCTTATTTAACTCATCACCTTTCTCATGTAGTCATATAAATCTATTATATTGATTCTTATAATTGATCACGTATACTATTAACATGTATGGTCACCTATCATATAACCTATTCACATTCTCATGTAATCATATAGACCATTCATATAATTCCTATACTTATCACAATACATGTATTCACACCATCATTTAACACATATTGTAATATATCACATATACCCAAATCAAACATATGCCTATGATCATAAATTAATGCATTCTAATATAGGGAATAGACTCGTCGCAAGTCTTATTTCCATTAAACATCATAAACTAACTTGTATGCACTCACTTGAGCCTCACTAAGTTCCAATCCACTTTTATGCTTTCATCTTTTTCGATCGAATCTTGACTTGATAATCGTTCTGGGACTTGTTGTGCTCGATATCTATATGATCATACATTGATACATGTCAGTATCCAATTGATATACTTCAATCTATCATTTCATAGAACAAAAGAAAGGTATAATTCTATTTCCCTTGAAGTGCATCGATGCATTCCTTATGCATCGATGCATAAATTGCATTCGATGTTTCCATTTTTAAGGGTGCATCGATGCACAGGAAGTGCATCGATCCACTGAACAATTTCTGGAAATTTACCCTTGATGCATCGGTGCACCTTGAATGTGCATCGATGCACATAGCCCAGAAATCCAATTTATGCCCGAAAATCCCCTCTTTTCAACTTAATTACTTCATATATCATTCCATTTTGTATTCTTAACTTACTTACTCCTATTCAACTCATTTATATTCATTTATCTCGTCTTGAACCTTAATATCTTCTGCTCTTTATTAACTTCAGGAATTATACCAGATTTTCAACATGTTTCAAACTCATTTTATCACTTCATATCTCTTAATTTAACCCTTGACAATTTAAATTTATCTTTCAATTTGAGTAATGAACTTTATTTTAAGATTTCACCCAAGAACCCCAAATCTTTAATCCCTCCTAACTCCATCATACTTTGATTTTAAGATAACTTAAGCTTAGTTATCATCTAATAATCAAAACCTAACCTTAAAATCAACAATTAATCCATAAACAAAGAAACTCACCTTTGAGCTTGGAGATACGGGAAGAGGAAGAAGAAGAAAGAAAACTCTGGATAATTCTCATTTTCCACGTGGTTCCTTATCTTATAAAAGAAATATAAAACTCTTACTTGTCAATTGACCATTTTACCCTTTAATTCATTCCATAATTACTAAATAACCTTCATCATATTTCCAATAAATCATTGAACTATTCAATTATCCTACTTTAATCACTAATTTCTAAAACTTTACAATTTGGTCACTAACCCGGTATTGAGGATGTTACAACGGCTATAGAATCATGCATGACCAAGCAAACTGCGTACACCTCGCACATTAGTGGGTGGAGGAAGAATTGCAATTACATCCACCTTGGCTTTGTCAACTTCGATGCCATGGCATGAAATTTTGTGTCCCAACACTATTCCTTCAATTACCATAAAATGGAATTTTTTCCCAATTCAGTACTAGGTTGGCTTATTCACAACGTTTCAATACCTTGGATAAATTGTCAAGGCATCGGTCAAAGTCATCACCCGAAACGGATAAGTCATCTATAAATATTCCATGCACTATTCCACCATTTCTGAAAAGATTGTCATCATGCATCGTTGGAATGTAGCTAGAGCTTACACAGTCCAAACGGCATTCGCCTAAATGATAGGTACTATACGGGCATGTGAACGTTGTTTTCTCTTGGTCTTTGGGTGCTACGACAATTTGATTATACCCCGAGTATCCATCGAGGAAGCAATAAAATGCCTTCCCTTCTAATCTATCCAACATTTGATCGATGAAATGGAGGGGAAAATGATCCTTCTTTGTGGCTTTGTTGAGCTTCCTATAATCCATGCAAATGCGCCAGCCCGTGACTGTTCTCGTGGTGAGTAACTCATCATGCTCTCTTTTAACCATGGTTACACCACCTTTCATTGGCACGCATTAGACTGGGCTAACCCATGAACTATCAGATATTGGATAAATCACTCTCGCAACCAGCCATTTTATTATTTCCTTCATGACAACCTTTTTTATGATCGGGTTGAGCTGTCTTTGGGACCGATGTGCTATGGCTATCTTCAAGATTGATTTTGTGCATGCATTTGGTTGGACTGATTCCTTTCAAGTCTGTTATCGTCCATCCTATAACTTTTTTTGCTGTGACAAAACATCCAACAAACTCTTCTCCTGTTCAGAGGTTAGGTTGGTAAAGATTATTACTGGTAAGTTTCATCAACTCCTAGATAAGCATATTTCAAATGTGATGGTAAAGTCTTAAGCTCCAATTTCGGTGCATGTTGTGAAGATGACTCTTGAGATTTAACTTCATCATAATCTAAAGGTTCGAATTTCATACCTGACCTATGAGGAAATCTCAATTGGTCATTTGTCTTTACTCCGTGTTTGCATTGTCGTCACTTTCAGGGTGTTCATTGTGCAGATTTCTGTTGTCGTGGCCATGATTGTCAGAATCGTCTTCTGAAAATAGTTTGTCTGGGCCAAAATTTTTTGCTTCATGCATCTCGGTTGTAGGTTCATGGTACAAAGTACTATACTCATCGAGCCTTAAGGATTCATCTCGTCCAAGGATTGTCTTTTCTTCAATCTTACTAATGCATTGACATTCCTCTGGATCATCTGCGTATTTCATAAAGTTGAAAACATTGATCGTGATGCTTTGCTCGCCAACTCTCATGGTGAATTCTCCCTTTTCACAATCTATTAAAATTCTCCTGGTGGCTAAGAATGGGCGTCCCAAAATGATTAGTGCATTTTCATCAGCTTCACAATCCAAATGAGAAAATCCACTGGAAATACAAATTTATCCACCTTTACTGCAACGTCTTCAATTCTACCCTCGGGTCGCACATAAGACTGATCAGCCAACTAAAGAATGACCGGGTGAGATGGGCGTGATACCCGTCTAGTTTCATGAATATCGATTTTGGTATCAAGTTACACTTGATCCTAAGTCAATGAGAGCTTGTCCGATGAAGTCATTACCAATGGAACATGGTTTTACAAAGCTGCTAGG